GAAAACAGTAAATATTCTGTGCGTACACTAGCAAGGGGGTCAGAGAAGACCTTTCAGAGAAAGAGATATTAAAGCTGAGTGAAGCTTTGTGAAATGAGGGGTAAGAGAGCTCTAGATAGAGGAAGGAGCCTGCACAATGGCCAGCGTGACCACGGCGAGTAGGTGAGTGTAGAGGGAGCAGCAATGGTTGCGGGGGGTGGGAGAACCCCAGGCCTCATATTTTAAGGAGTACAGATGTTATTCTAAGAGTAATTTTATTTTAGGCGGAGGGTACAGCTCGGTGGTAGAGTGCATGCCTAGCATGCACGAGGTCCTGGGTTCAATCCCCAGTGCCTCCACTGAAATAAATAAATAAACCTTGTATGCCCAACTTCCTGCTGGCCTCGTAGATGTGTACCAAGCTGGATGGCAAACAGGCAGACAGGCCAGCCCCCTCCATCCTCATTTCCCAGCCTGCTTTCAGCAGTTGCATGAGTTGGAGAACACATTCATTCCTTTATTTACCCCACAACCATCCACTGAGCTTTTGCTGTGTTCTGGTATTCTGCTGGGAGCTGAGTACAAAAATGAGTAACTCTAAATATCAGGACTCAGGAAAGTCACATTTAATTGGTGAGACATGCTGACCAATACTTGAGATTTATGTGCTCTGAGGTATGTGTAACTTGAAGAACAAGTTAATACTTCTCCCTCCCTTCCTACCAGAAAGAGGCCCCCGAAAGAGACTAGATCTTATCAATTCTTTTATGAGCCCTTTCAAGTGATTATTTCAAAGCTTCTATTTATTTTGCACTCTTTTTTGTTGAAGTATAGTCAGTTTACAATGTTGTGTCAACTTTTGATGTACAGCATAATGCTTCAGTCATACATATACATACATATATTCCTTTTCTTCTTTCTCATTATAGGTTATTGTAAGATATTGAACATAGTTCTCTGTGCTACACAGGATAAACTTGTTGTTTATCTATTTTATATATAATAGTATCTGCAAATCTCGAACTCCCAACTTATCCCTCCCCACCCCCCTGAAGCTTTTGTGTTTTTGTGTCACTGTGAGAGGGAGAGTTCAGTGTATGTCTCAGCAACGAACCCATTTCTTACTTTCACATGCATGAGGGTCACATTTTGAAAAGAGATGGGACACACAGAAAAATTAAGTCAGGAAGAGAGATGGATTGGAAGTGAATCCTTGGGAGTCACCAGGACATGGATGGTCACTGAATCCGTGGGCATCATCTGAACTGACATGGATGGGCTCATCTTGGGAGAGTGTGCAGAGCAATGAGATGCAGTAATAAGAGGACAGAATATGTCCCCCCCCCACACCCACTCAGAGAACACTGACATTTAAGGGCTGGGAGGGAGACAGAAGCCAATGAAGGAAGTAGGGGAGTGGTCTCAGGTAACCGCACCTGGAGATTGACAGGTCACAGGTGCCAAAGGAGGAACTCAAGTGGGAAGGAAAGGTGTGAGTGTCAACAGGTACAGGGGAGCATCCAATCTGGTGAGGACCAACGTGTGCCTGCTAGAGTTGGCGGATGAAGATCAACTTCAGAGAAATTACCTGCCTGTGAGTGGAGTGATGGAGAGGAAAAAAACTGGACGCTTCGTGGGGAAAGGAATTGGTAGGGCAATTTGTGGAGGAAATGAGAGAATGGAGGTGGAAAGCAAGATGGGACCGAGGAAAGGTTTTTTGTTTGTTTAAATTGGAGAGTGTGAGTGAGCATGATTATACAGTAAGAGGCAAGTGCCAGGGAAGAGGGAAAGACTGAAGTCATGAGGACAGAGTGAATGAGACTGGAATTCTGAAGGAAGTGAGAGACCTAGCCTCGGGCACAGGTGAGAGGACTGACCTTGGATGGGAGGTGGGATACCTCATCCTCCCAGAGAGGTAAGGAGGCAAGGATGGTGTTCACCACTGCCCACCAAGCTGCTTCTCCTAAGAATAAAACCGAACCCCAAGCCCTCCTTCCTCCATGGAGCCCTGCAGGTACATCCGAGAGCTAGAGAGTCCTCTTGATTCTTAGAATGGCTGAGGCTCCACTGGGCTTTGCCTGTGGTTTGGGTGCCTCTGTTCATAGAACCCACTCTGCTTACACCACAAACGCTCTGCGTGAGCCCGCAGTCTGGCAGCCTGTAAGAAAGCGCTCTGAGGGTTACAAACATGCATGACATATTCAGAAGCACATATGTTGGAGGTGGTGGGAGGGGGAGGGGTATTGGGTAAAGGCAGCCAAAATGCGCAAACTTCCAGTTACAAGATAAATAAGTGCTAGGGACGTAATGCACAACGGGATATAATTAACACTGATGCCTGTTATATATGAAAGCTGGTAAGAGAGTAAATCCTAAGTTATCAGAGGGAAAAACATTTTCTTCTCTTTCTTCAGTGTTGTTTCCATATGAGATGATGGTTGTTCACTAAATTTACTGTGGCGATCTTGTCATGCTGCGCTTAAGTCAGATCACGGTGCTGCACATCTTACACAGTGCTGTGTGTCAATTATTTCTCACTGAAACTAGAGGGAAAAAAGTACGTATATCGTAGACATTATTTCAGGAGGGACAGTCATCCTTGTGTTTGTTTTGGTGGCAGAAGAACTTCTTTTAGCTGAATTTTAGTCTCTAGAGGGAGAGAAGACGGACAGGGATGCTGGTGTGGCGGGTGGCACACAGGTTGCGGCTGGGTTTCCGTGCTGTTTCTGGAGTTTTAAATTCATGGGGTTTGTTCATCTTCATTGCTGGCAGCGGCATATGCCCCACAGACACAGGGATTATGTCACTGCCACTTTGGTTGAGCCTTATTATAAATTATCCAGGAAGGAGGGAGCATCCACCCAGTGCACTCACTTGTAGAGTCACATTCTGCCTCATTTCCTTTCTTGCCAGACAAGGAAAACAGATGTTGAACAGAGTGTTTAGTAGTATTGGGTCTGGGAGTGAAACTGCCCGGATTCAGATTCTGGCTCTGTCAGGTACCATCTGTGGAGCCAGGAGTGTGTTCATGAACTTCCCTGGGCGGCCCCAGTTCATCTGTAAATTGGGTAGCGATGGCCGTGCCTGTGATGGCCTCGTGGGATTGTTGCATCTAATAAGGAAGGTCATTCGTTTCATGAGTTTGCATAGTGCCTGGGACACGGTGAATGCTTAATACATATTAGCTCTTATTTAAAAAAATTCAAACTAGTCCACATCCATTAGAGCTAGCACCTGCTGTACACATACCCTTATGCTGTGGGGGTGACGTGGGGACTACAAATCACAAAGGCAGATGGGTGCAACTGCAGGGATCAGGGAAGAAGCCAGACTCCTGAGCTGGGGTTCGGGATGGGTAGAGGATGGGCAGGGAGGCTGGGGAGGTGGGTATTCGTGGTGTGGGGCAGTGTGAGCAAACGCCTGGAGCAGGTGAGTGGGGAGCATCTTCGGGGAACCGACATCTATTCTTGCTTGTGCTGCTGGAGGATGAGGAACTCATGATTCTGCATGTGTGCATATTGCTTGGGTCAGTCTCTTAATTCCTAGAGAATGATGGTTGCTATAGAAACCAAATACTTCTACAGGAAAAACCTAGAGCTAGTCAAGAACATAGATTTAAAGGCAAAATCCGTGGCACTCAACCAAATAAATACCCAGCAATGTGGCATCCGACGAAGCTTTAATGACTGTTGCTCAAGATCAAAGTAACATTACTCAAGGGTGGAGAAGCCAGATACAAATGAAGGC